CTGGTGAAGTTCATAGCTTGGTGGTCAGTGGATGAAAGTATGGAAATGTTTAATGTTAAAGGCAAAAGGCCTGTTGGCCTGTAAAGAAGGGAGAAAAGGAAGCTGGTTAACATTCAGTCACAGAATCATCGTGATTCATTTGCCACATGAAAAAAATAGTCGCTGCTTGTCTGCCAATATAAGTTATTGTCACTTGCCGCTCTGAAAAGTTTATTCACTTGACTTTTACTACTGCTCGGTCATTCCATTCCATTCCATTTGTCTTTTTCCCACCGCCGTCAGAACCCAGCCCATCCATCGCGTCTTGTTGACCGCTTTCAGTACGGTAAGGTATGTCACCGGGCCGGCGCGGCACTGTTCGTCCCCAATGCGTCGCCGCTCGCCGTCTGTGCGCCGTCGCACGCCTCACATGCGTCGTCGCTAGTCTCCCTGTGCGGCTTAGCCAGTCTCCAATGTAGCTCTATGTGTAGCTCGCTTTCAATACGCGTGGCTAGACTCCAACATGTGACGTAGCTCGCCTCCAATACGTCACTGTGTAGAGGTGGCAAAAGTTGAAAATTTTGGGAACCAGACTCGAACCAGACCCGACTGGACATTTTCGGAACCAGTCGGACCCGGTCTAAGTTGGAATCGGAACCAGTTGGACCCGTTCCCCAAAAGTCAATTAATAACTATTTGAAGGTATCATTAGTTGCATCATGTAAGACAGCCTTTTTCTCGCCGGGAATACTCATGAGCTACAGTGTGCAAAGAACATACAACATCAGCAAATGCTTTCTTTCCATCTATAACTTCATATTTTGCAATCATGTGTAGTGTGCAAGGTGTATGGTTTATAGAAGAACCCAGTTGGACCCGTCAGAAAATTTCCAGGAACCAGTCTGGACCCATATGGGTCCAGACTGGTTCTTTGGACCGGGTCCTCGGGTCCACATTTTGCCATCTCTACTCCTGTGCGCCATGGCTCATTTCCAATGCTCCGTAGCTCGTTTCCAATACGCTATCGCACGTCTTCATTGCATGATAGCTCGTCACCCCGTGCGTAATCGTTGGCTCTCTTTGCGCCGTGTCTCGCCTCAAATTCCCTCCCCACTCGCCGTAGCTGGCATGCTGTGCGCCATCGCACGCCTCCAATGCGCCATCGCTCATCTCAAACGCGCCATCGCTCGCCGCCGCTCGCCGGCCGGCGCTCGAGACGCGTGGCTAGCTGCCATGCCTGTGCGCCTCCTCCTCAGGCGCGCCGAGTTCAGTGACCGTCAGCGACCTACCGCCCAGACGCCCTGCTTACGTAAGCAGCTCCACGGGTCTCGCCGACCAATCACAGCGCTCCACTGCGTCACAGGCACGCAGTGACGTACTGAGTGATGGGGAGGAATCGATGGGGTCGGCAGTCGCAGTCGCTTTCATTAGTTGATAAAAAGTTGATTTAAAGTGACCGGACATGTGTGTTGAACATTATGAAACTTTTGGGCATTCTTGAAGACAAATCTTAGAGTTCAGCAGAGGCATGAACAATACATCGAGCTACCTGTATGGTTCGTAGCAGCTTCGTAGCAGATGTAGTAATAAAATGAATGAAATGAATGAAAGATCAGCATCAACTGAACGCCAGCTAATCAAAAAGTGACATAAATTGACTGAATCAACTCCTCGAAACACGAAACTACAATTGGAGTCAGTGGAACAAACGAACACCACAGAGACAAAGACGAAGCCATACCGAGGAGATAACCTAAGAAAAATGGGAAAGTGAAAATAATTAAATATGGTGATGAAATTGACCAGTAACATGGCAGTAAGATGTATTTTTAAATAACAAAATGAGGCCGAAAATATAGAACGAGCTTTCGTCTTACGACATCATCGGGTTCTGGCTTAGCCGAGGCAATCACATTTGAAAAATTGGAACAGAACCAAATATTCACACGTGCACATTGGCCCAGATGGCTTTTGGAGGTCATGTAGCGATACGTATTGCGCAAGAGACGTACACTTAAAAAGACCAATGCAAATATCGGATACAAATCGATACAATTAAACAAGAGCAGACCGCAGCACGCTCGCCGTCACATTCAACTGCATCACACACTGTACCAATATTTAACCATACATGTATGTGGTCATGTAGGCTATACAAGTAGTATCCTTACAATAGTTACAGTACCCCAAATCGTATACAAGTGGTCATATAAACTACACAAGTGTGTGTGTGGGGGGGGGGGGGGGGGCTGTGTGTTTGTGTTGGGTGCTCGTGCGCTAGAGCCTAGTGTGTTAAAGGCCACGAGCTTTGCATTGTGTTCAGGCTAGGCCGAAGGTTTCTGATGTGGATTGATTCCATTATTTTTACTTCCGCGCAATCTTTACCTGTATCTAGAATTTCTATGCGGAAGGAGTTGTTAATGTCACTATTGGAAAGGTCGTTGTGAGAGTGCAAGATATGCTCGCCTAGTGGTGTGTCTAGCTTTCTTAGACGTGCGTTACTCAGATGTTCGTTGAATCTGTAGCGAACTGGTCTCGTGCATTCTCCTATGTAGGTTTCCGCACGTTCTGCTGTCTCGCATGGCTTACACGTGATTTTGTACACTGCGTTTCTCGTACTGCATTTTTAATAAAATAATGGAATAAAATATATTATATTTTATTTATTAAATTTTTTATTAAAATTTAATAAATTAATAAAATTAATAAATTAAAAATTAATAAATTTTTAAATTAATTAAAAAAATTAATTAAAAAAAATTATCATTAAAAAAAATTAATTTTAAATTAATTAATAAATTAAAAATTAATAAAATTAATTAATAAATTATTATTAAAATTTTAATAAAATAATGGAATCAATCCACATCAGAAACCTTCGGCCTAGCCTGAACACAATGCAAAGCTCGTGGCCTTTAACACACTAGGCTCTAGCGCACGAGCACCCAACACAAACACACAGCCCCCCCCCCACACACACACTTGTGTAGTTTATATGACCACTTGTATACGATTTGGGGTACTGTAACTATTGTAAGGATACTACTTGTATAGCCTACATGACCACATACATGTATGGTTAAATATTGGTACAGTGTGTGATGCAGTTGAATGTGACGGCGAGCGTGCTGCGGTCTGCTCTTGTTTAATTGTATCGATTTGTATCCGATATTTGCATTGGTCTTTTTAAGTGTACGTCTCTTGCGCAATACGTATCGCTACATGACCTCCAAAAGCCATCTGGGCCAATGTGCACGTGTGAATATTTGGTTCTGTTCCAATTTTTCAAATGTGATTGCCTCGGCTAAGCCAGAACCCGATGATGTCGTAAGACGAAAGCTCGTTCTATATTTTCGGCCTCATTTTGTTATTTAAAAATACATCTTACTGCCATGTTACTGGTCAATTTCATCACCATATTTAATTATTTGATCATGGCAAAACCGACCATTCAATACATCAAAAGTGAAAATAAGTGGAACGCACTGCCGCCCCGCGTCTCAGCGGGAGAGCCGCTGGTGGTTTCGAGGGAATGTCATGCTCGCCTCACCGGGGAGTGTGCTGAGCCAGCCCGAGGGCGTCCAACTTCCGGTGTCCCACTTAGCGCGTGCATGAGATGAATACGAGATGAAGGTGGTGCCAACTGAAAGTCCTCCCCCCCTCTCTCTCTCTCTCCGTACCTCCATGCGTCTTTCTTTCTCCCTCTTTCTGATCGTAGTCCCGTTTTTCTCTCTGTTTCTCTTTGCTCGTGTGTTTGTTGGTTGCTCGTTTCTTTTCCTTTCCCCTTTTCTTGTTTTACTCTCCAAGATCCTTTTTTCCGCGTTAAGCCTCTCTTTTTGTTCTCTATCTCTCAGCATGCATCTCTCATAAGTTATATTCTCCAGCACCATTGACCACACATGCGTATTCTCACTCTCAAGCTAATGCTAAGTGAAAACGGATTGTGCACATTTGACATTTTTAGATGCATCCTTTGCATTTTGAGGAGCATCAATCTGAATGGCTATCGATCTGAGTCTCCAACCTCTTTTCTTCCGACTGGACCGGGCTGTCAGTTATGTAATGCTCCATTAACGTTCTTCAGCCTACTTTGATGTGAACTGAGGCCATACGTTATATAACAATTCTAGATGTTTCCTAGACTTCACTCTCTAACAACTAGGCCCTACCTGTCTACAGAGTCCATGACCAATAATTCAAAATGGCATCCCCAATTTTGAGAGGCACAATTCTTGTTTCCCCGTTTTTCAAACCGGGCCGTTCTAAGGATTTAAACACAAAAGAGACGACTGGTGAGGCTAGTTCGTCATCCTTCCCTGCGATTATCCCCCATGGAACCCAAGATTACCCTTTTTCTCCCGAAGTTTTTGCCTCAACCTCACCACATTCATACCCCTACTCTCCCAATCCAATTCCAGCTCTCAGTCCAGCGCTCAGTATGTCTGTCTCCAGCGAGGCCTGGGAGACCTCGAAACCCACACGGGATAGCAGAGACGACCACGCCTCACTCACGACTGAGTCACGAACCAATAGATAACGCCCCATATCGTGTCCCTGTGACGTCAGGATGAAAGTGCAAGAACAGCCATATGTACTGTTGTATCCATAGACAAAAACGATCCGGTTAGAGCGGTCGCTTGCTAAAAGGCTTGAGTGGTGACCAATTCATGGTCTCTCTCTCTCTCTCTCTCTCTCTCTCTCTCTCTCTCTCTCTCTCTCTCTCTCTCTCTCTCTCTCTCTCTCTCTCTCTCTCTCTCTGTGTCTCTTTCTCTCTCTCTCTCTCTCTCTCTCTCTCTCTCTCTCTCTCTCTCTCTCTCTCTCTCTCTCTCTCTCTCTCTCTCTCTTTCTCTTCTTAGCCACTCCCATAAATCCTTCTGCGCGGTGGCCTTCACCTTTCTGCCTTAGAGCGTGGTAACTCACTGGCAATATCCCAAGGTAGATCAGCCACAGGGAGTCAATCGCAACTCCAAAAATACTTCTCTGATAAAGTAACAGTGCCGCCCGCGTTGTGGCAGACTTACCTTTGACAGAGTTCAGCAGCTTTGTCCCAGGAGTGGTGAATGTTGAAGAAACGGTAACAGTGCTGGCCTCTCAGCATCCAGTCTGAAATAAAAACATTCAATTAGATATAAGTGACACAAAAGTGACAGCAATATCGGTAGCAAACAGTGAAACTACTGAACTTCGACGAGATGCTTATGTGAAACGCACACTTTCCTTCATTACCTACTGTGACGTGCGATTGAATTTAACTGTGATCGATTGAATTCCCTCTTTGATGATTTGATCAGTGAATTAATATCTCGTCCTCTTCCGTATCAGCTTATGATACCAGCATCAAACAACCCACGTATGTACCCATAAGGCTAAGGCATATGTAACAGATTTTGCAGCTTTTTAAAAGTGCAAGTGTCCATACATTCCTCGATGAGCAGATATACCCCTCAAAACACACATCAGATCCTATCATGAGCACAGCGACAGGATTTACCTCAACATCTAACTCCATTCTACCAGTTTTGTGCAGACGTCGTGTGCCTGCTATCTCCCGTGAAATCGCCGCTAGATAATCCCACCGCCATCTAGGTCAGTGACCTTTTCACACATGAGACGGTGCATCGTTTCCGTCACCGTGGATGGGTAGCCATCTGAACCGGAAAGTGTCAAAACCCTTCATCAGGGTCGCGGAGGGACAGTGACTGTCAGGAAATGCTCATTGTGCTCAGCAGAAATACAGAACAACTGTTAACGTCGAAAACTAGGGTTACTTTGGAACAAATAATCAATCACGGCACAAAAAATGAAAAAAAGTCTCCCGAAGTTTCGACACCACACACCATGATGTGCGTTTCAATTTTCAAAGGTATTGTGTCAAAATGTGAATTATTCCTTACAGTTTAAAGAATAAATTTTCCACATTCAGACATATATCAGTGCAATGTAATAGCGTACAGCACTGCCCGATGCAGTACATAGTGCAAAAAGGACGTTCCGTACGAAATAAATAGCAGCCATCAGTTCCCGACCTATGCAGCATTGAAGTTCCTAACACTGGTGCTAGTGGCCTATGCAGCGCTGCGGTCTCCAGATCCCGTCCAACGTTACATAACGGTCTCCGAATATGGTGTTAATGTGCTGTGCGTGACTGCAGTCTCCAAATGGTGGTACTGCCCCACACATTAATGCAGTCTCCGGCGGTCGGGCTATTTGTGCGTTGGAGTTACGGAAATTGGTGTTTGCGTCGTACACACCGTCAAGGTCCCCAAGGTTAGCACCCCACGCAGCGTTGCAGTCCCCACGGATGCCGTACCACGTACGACTGCAGTCGACAAAATGTTGTCATGTGTTGTTTTATGCCTCACTGCAGCATATTTTCCCAAGATTGCTTCTATCGTCTTGTTTTGTTTGTTTTGTTTATTGGGGTTTTTGGGCGCGCCGACTGCACAGGTCAATTTTCGCCCATTTGCTTCTATTGTCGGCAATAGCGACAAAAACGCTTTAAGTCAAAGTGCAGTTTTAATAGGCAGTCAGTACTGTAACCGCCATCTAAAATCAGTATGATTTCGACGCATGCCATCATCGGACGCTGATTTTTAGGACTTTTCATAATTACCGGACGCTACTGAGGTTTTAGTGAGCCGAGCGATTCACACACATAAGAAAAAAAATCATTTCTACGTGCTAAGTTATGACATACGTCCTATGCTGTTACAGGTGGGCAGCACTGAACATAGACAAAATGCCAACGACCAAGTTTCCGCAGCGCCCCGGTCTGCGCCGGGCGCCGGTGCCAGCCACTGATTTTAGTCCACCGGTGCGTGACTTGTGGTAGCTGCTCGAGCGAGATTCGTCCTCTGCGGCGCGAGGAGGGTGCGACCAGTCAGTGACCCCACCGGAGGACACTGAATAAAACATGAGTGGCGAGGCTGCCGAGACGGCCAGTGTCCACCAGTTCGACACAGAATGACATTCGACGGCCATCAGTCCCGTTGAGGCACTAGAGGCGTGTTGCAGTGCGTGCCAGTATCTGTCGCTGCGCTTTGCAATACATTTTAAACGCAGGAAACTTAATCCAAGCTCAATTTCTAAGGTATAGTAAAAAAAAAGAATCTTTCCACTGCAAGCACCCACCCCTTCCCGGAAAAGATGCTGCTTTGATTCATGACTCTATGGAGTCGTATTTGAAAGGTTTGGCAAGCCTATACCGGATCACATGTTACAATCTGATACTGATATCCAAGTGCTTTGGGGAATACGTCATCCATTCCGATGTTTGTATATGACAAAATCGACTAATGTTGTTTCTTGTACTATCTAAACCATTGCTAGAGAGTTAAAAGGTAACGAGCAATTATATTTATGGTGAAATAAATCACCTTTCACTGAATGATGTAATGCATGCAATATGTGTAACAAAATAAGTGCGCTCACTTCAAAGGGAGATATCAATAAATCCCTGATAAGTGATCATTGACAATGATCTGTACCAACATAACTGGTGATATAACGGACAAATAACCGATAATACGAAAGGTGATATCAGCAACGACCATTAGCCAAAACATAACCGGGACTGGTTTGTTGTTGGATATATTCAAATAGTACCGAGTGGATTACGTAACCATGCTCTAGTACCGGACTGAAGCGGCGGTATTTTTAGTACAAGTCTGTTTTATAGAGAGAGAGCATTACTTACTTTCCTGCTCAGGCTCAGCACTTTCAAGCTCAGCAAAATCAAAGGAAGTGGGATTCGATTACTATATTTAAATAAATAAACTATTTGAGGAGTGTGTTCATCTGCAGCATTCAATGCCACCTCTCTAGCTCCGCCAATGACCCCTCGCCTGGCCTGCGTGCCCCCCTAGCGCACTTACCCTGAGGGCACTCAAAGAAGCTACCCTCCGAGGCGGACTCAGACAGGGAGAGGGTGAGTGCCGCCGATAGGAGGCCCACCCACAGCAGGTAGGCTCTCATGGTGTGGCCCTGAAACGACAGACATGTGTGAGTGACAGATGACGTACAAATGACAAATGACTCCGGGTTGAAATGACAGATATACCCAACAAGTGATAAACTTGACATCTGTACTAACAACCACAGCAAATTCGGTTTGCAATGCATCAATGGCAATTTGGGCAATTAGTGACACATGCTAGACACCGGCGTCCGGCATTGGTGACAAAATGACATACAGAAGCAGTCGTACAAGCGACAGCTAAAGGATTGACGTTAACTGGTAAAGCACGAACCAATCATTCACATCATACGATAAAAACCCAGAAAGACCAGCATATTTTGCGGGCATATCCATGGCTCGACAAAAACAATAGGCCCTAAGAACTAACTTTCACTAGGGGCTCCTATTGTTGGGACTCAATGTATGCAATATGCATGCCTGCTGAATGGAAATTCCTACCCATAAACTTCTTGTCACGCCCATGCCTTGAATTAAAAATTAAGAAATTCAATGGGCAGCAACGGCATTGCTGGCCGCTGAGACGGGGCCATGAGGCCATGGCCGCCTTTAGGGCCCGATATTTAGCGGTGAGGTATGCTTATGGTAGTGCGAGTGAAGAATTAAGTACCTGACCATTGGTGACCCGCCTCCTTTCAGCCTCTATCGCGTAGCCTACAAGGGTCTCCAATGAACAGTGAGCGTGAATATAAGACTCAATGCAGCAACGCTAGCATTGGTTGTGCTTACGTAAACCATTAATCTGATCCTTGTCCTGCGTTTTTCTTGTATCTTTACTTTGAAATAAAACGAACGTAGGTACCGTGATAATATTTTCCCACCATTTCGCACTTTATTACCTCCAAGTGTTACGTGAACTGCCAGAGTGTTTTCTTAACCAGCCAATATGAATACAACGTAAGGTATTTAATTTTTATAACAACTGAAAACGTTAAAGATCACTTATAAAGCCATTAGAATGAAATAAGCAGACCCAGCTCAGAGTTATGATTCTCGCAAATACGCTTGCGTTGACAGACTATGCCGAATTACTGTTTTTGTAAATTAATAGCTCAGTATAACTTGAACTTGAATTCGGCTGACCAAACCTTGACCACTGGCTAAACCTCTAACTAATGCTGACTTAGGTTGACCTCAAAGGTCAAGTTAAAGTTCTACCTTTCAGGTCAGGGGATTGCTTTTGCACTAAGTAATTGTTGTAGTGATTTCAAATAAGCACCGTGGCGCCACTAATGGCAAAACACCCCACTACAGTTCACTTGTTACATAAGCATTACCCAAAGAGCGGATCAGTATTCGGTATCATTACATGGCTCGACCCATAATTTATTCGAGAAAAAAAGTTCCAAAGGTCACTTTAAAGTCCAAAAGACGTTTCGTTTAAATGCCTCCTTCGGAAGTATTTTCTTCCGTTCACGGCCGTACGAAGCCACGAACTCTTGTGGTTCCGCAGAGGCTAGCGCATGACGTCATAGGTCAATGGCCACCTGACCTGGTTAGAAAATGAAACCGGTTTCCAAAGGTGCGACCTTAACCAAAGGCAGTGCAGATATGCCTTATCCCTCGCCGGACCTATTGGTTTTCTACATACGCGCCGGCCGAGGGGGGGGGGGGCGGGTACGACCCCCCCTCGCCGTTTCGCCCCTGGTGGAGCTAGCGCGTCGCGGAAAAAAACGAGCGTGTGCGCCGTTACAAGACGCAGAGATTGGTACCCGATTTTAAGGTCCTAGGTCAACCGGTGACCTCTAAGGTCAGGTCAAGTGCCCCAGGGTACGGTTTAGTTTTTGGTGAATAACTTCGCAAAAAACGGCCGCAGAGCCGCGATTTTGGCAGCATCGTGTTCGCCTTGCTCAGGCGCGTCGAATGATATACTTTTTGTTCGGGTCAGGTCAACTTAGGGTGTTGACCTCAGGTCAAGGTCAGGTCAGCACCCCCGGGTCACGAAGTTGGTCGAAAGAGGTCATGTCGCATATCATTCGATTCGGCAGGTCTTCCTGAGTCCATTGGTGGCTTTCCCGACTCGCCAGCTCAATTTGATCGGGAGTTATTGACGAAAAACTAATATGACCTTGATGACGTCATAAATGACGTCACGGAAGGTCAACATTGCAAAAGTGACGCATCTATCCTTGCAAGGAGTGCATCAAATCACGATTCTGTGTGCTTGAGATAGTTGGAGATCGTTCCCGGCGCCAGAATAGCAGTTTGAATTTTTCCCCATTGACTTATAATAGTGAGGTCACGAAAATGACCTGACCTCATATGACCTATAGGAAAAATCCGAGATATACAAGTTGTGAGACTCATAATGGATACTAGATCCTGCAAGTTTCATTTCCCTGTGACATCTCCTCTGGCAGTGAGGGCGTTGCGAAGTTGCGACATCTGAAGACCGTGCAGAGGTTCACTTATGACGTCATAGGTCAGTGACCTGACCTGACCCAAAAATGCGGTTGGTGTCAAAAGATGCGGCTTGGATCAAAGGTCAGGTATGCCAAGTTTCAGCTCTCTATCGCCAGCGTGTTCGGAGCTATCGCGAAAAAACCCTATGGGGGGGGCGGCACCCGCCCCCCCCCCCCTCGGCCGGCGAGGGTTATTTCGCCTTCTATTTCTCATTTCTTGAGCGATTGCGAAAAGAATACGAGGTCTGAGTATCACAACATATCCTCATTAGGGGTCATGCGAGCAGCCAACACACAAAAAAGTTTTTTCACCGAACTATGATTCATTATAACAATTTTTCCGTCTACAACACGATTAATTTCCCAAAAGCTTCGGGGTAGGCATTTGAGCGGATTTAACAGTTTTCGTCGACATAACAACGCAAAAGAATTATGAATAAAGTGTGTACCTCAATGAGTTTTCGAACGAGCACTCATTGTTCACCGCATTTTTAAATATTAAAACTTCTGTTGATCTCCTTTGCGATTGCACTTCTGATTCACTGCACTCATCCTACATATATTTAGTAATTTCGGCTATATCATCATCCTTCGCTTCGCTGGTTGCTTCAATGCCGTTTCGACCTCGTTCCTGAGTCGTTTCTGCACTGATAAGCAGAATATGATCAGGTATAATAAAAATCCGATCAAAACACATCCGCAAACGCATTGGCGGCCCCAGCCGGGGCATCAAAGGGGATGGGGCAAACCGCAATCGTTGATCGGGTGTTCACTGTCCATTTCTCAGGTATACAAATTCCGATTAAAACACATCCATATACGCGTTGGCGGCCCCAGCCGAGGAATCAGAGGAGATGGGGCAAACCGTTGTTTGTTTGTTTGTTGGGGGTTAGGGGCGCGCCGACTGCGAGGTCATTTTGCGAAGCCGTAATCGAAGGTCGGGTGTCCACTGTTCATTTCTTGCCATGTGGCATGCACTGCCTTTGGCTGTTAAAAGCTGAGTTGTATGTGGATAGGAAGGCGGAAGCCACGGCTTTCATGCCAGATAACACGCAGACGCAACCACTCACGTCTCACGCACGCTTCACCTGACGTGCGATTTTGCGGTGAACTTCCGGGACAGGACCTTCACACGTACACTCGCTCACAAAACCAAGTCACACAGTCCCGATTCACCTATGTGCGGCGTCTCGGTTCACCCACCTTTTTGGTGCAATCCGTCAGTTAGGTGGTGGCTCTAGCGAACTGGAAGACGGCACGGGCGTCGCGGACCTCCCCACCACGGGGCCTCTGGGCCGAGACTGCGCGCTCGGTCAGCCGGAGCCCTCTCCGACGAGCACCGCCGCCGCCGCCGCCGCCGCCGCCGCCCGGGGCAGCAGCGGCGGCGGGCGGCGGCACCGCAGAAGATGGTCACCACCAATAAGGACCAGTTTACCCAGCGAGCGGGCGGAATTTCGCCCGTCAGAGCACTGAGATTAACTCGGCTCGCGGGCGCGGAATGACCGGAGCGGGACGGTAAGGGCGATGACCAGGCGGTCACCCGCAGCCAAACAGCGCGCAACGCAGACGATTCTCGACCCTATTGTCCGGCCGGCGAGATGTTTGCTGAAAACTGAGGAGGCTGGATACGAGGACGGCAAACCACGGACGAAAAAAAAAAACGGAAGGAGGATCAGCGAAGAACAATTTTGCAGCTGGCGCACCTGTGAAAGTCGTGTTTTACACGATCGCTGTAGCGCTTCAACTACTTTTCTTTTCGATCACGTTTAGATACCTGAGCAGTGATTGCGCATCAGATGATTTCCTATAGTTGATCCGGCGTCTTGCAGTCATTTCTGAGGAATGCAATGCATCAGTCTTCCAGGAATCTGTTCCGGATCTTTCGTGAATCATGACTGTCCGTACTGGTTGACCTCAGACTATGTCGTGCGAATGCGATTCCTATCAGAGAACAGCCGTTTCCATTCATTTAAACGGCAAGTTTACTTAGCGGCCGTAAACAGTTATGCACTGATGGCCATAATTGATTTGTTAGTGGTTGCAAGGTATCGATTTTTGAAAAGAGCAGGTTAAGCATTAGTTAATAAATTCTGACCGAGCGAATGGTGCGACACATCCACATGTTGATTTATTAGAAATAAATTCACTTGACTTAGCATGATGAGGTAACATGACCTTGACCCCAAACTTTCCGCACCTTCCCCAAAACAAATCAAAGTCAAACGAGCTATTTTAAAACGGTGAGCCGTCCGTCACCGTTTCTCCGCTATTCGCGAAAACACCCGGACACCGGGTAGGAAGTTCAAACACCGCTGTAGCTAGGCGCGGGCTAATGCTATTCATGGTCAGGCGCGTGGGACGCCCCTCCCTTCGTCTGGCCGGTTTAGTACCGTACCCCGGTGACCCTCCCCATTATTATCTGACAGCGACCGCTCGGCCCCCTTGAAGGGTCACTTTGGTATGCAGGTCCTGGCTCTGTAATACGACAGGGGGAGGCAGCGGGGTTTACGGGCGGAGGTTGTGCCGATAAAGGTCCCCGAAGCAGAAGACGCACAGGTGTGGGTCGCACAGGCGATTAATTGCCAGGGCAAGTCGTTGTAGATCTTCAGAGATAGGTAAGTATCTCATTTATCAGGTACGGAAAACCTGTATAAAAATACATGAACACCTCTCCAGGTTTTCGACATGGCAGCCACATCCTCACTTCGTCACAAAAATATATGTAGTCACGTTTTGATTGCCTTTGAATAAAAAAACCTCCTAGCACCAAAAGAAAACAATCGACCTGCGTGGCGTCAGTAAGTTCATTGTTTGGCGTTACGCCGTCTGTCACTGCTTATTAGGGAGGGCCCGAGGTATGACATGTAAATGACCCCTAATCGAGGCCATCGCGCCCACCCACCCGCGTCGCCGCCTTCCTGGATTGGCTAGAGATGGGTGACCCCAAACGGCTGGGCATTATTCCACACATAGCATTATGCCAAACAGCTTGGCAATTGGTGCTATAGTCATTATGGACGCCGTGCTTGCCTTGATATGCTTTGGCGAGCTCCTATATAGAATGTTTATGCCATTTTATTTGCTCAGTTGATATTGAGGCCTGAAACAACATTCTTCGACAAGTTTTTCTGCCTCAACTTTTCGTCTTAGTGATCGTCAAGCGAGCAAGCAAATCCCAGCCACACAAAAATACCAATTCTGCCTCATGTATTGCAGCCCTTAGGCCGTACGTATAAATACACACACTCTCGACACCCTGAGACACGGGGAAGCGCATCAGTCGCCCTCCCCACACACTGGGAAATCCCGACCAGTCCCCGACCAGTACATTCCCTACCATGGCAGCCGGGACTGATGTCATGGGGGAACTAAACACTGCTTAAACGTTGCGCAGCGGACAATAATAAACAGATGTGGGGGCGTCAGACTGGGACGGACAGTCGCATGATGGGACATACTATCCCACAAAGGGACAGGCGGTCTCAAAGTGGGACAGACGGTTCCAAAATGTGACAGATGTTTCCACGATGGGACAGACTGTCACAACAGCAGGTAGGACTGTCACAACATGGGACAGACGGTCCCAACATTGGAACAAACTGTCCCAAATTGAGACAGATTGTCCCAGCAGGACGTAGTGTCCCAACAATGGGATTAACGGTCCTACGAATATGGGATAGACTGTCCTAAAGCGGGAAACACGAATTCTGCTCCCGTTCTAATTATACGGCGATTAATTCCTGAGAGGAGGACTATGATTACACTAAGACAAGGGGGACGCCCTTAGACCACCAGAGAGATGGCAATGGAAAATCTCCTCTTCTCCTCCCCTTCCCAGGCATATTTTCCGTTCGAACAAGTCTGTAGCCGCCAGTTTAGCGGCCCTAACCAGAGGGGTTCAGACAATATGCGGGAGAGAATGGACAAAACGAGACAAGTTTTGGCGCGCTTTGACATCTTAGAGTTGCAAGGCGGTTGTTCGCTCCGCTGTTACGGATCCTCAAAGGCTATGCGAGGGAAACAAGCCTCAGGTCGGACACAAGCTTATATCGCGAAACTGGAAAGGAAAAGTATTTAGCTGTGGGCTGAGCGTTGGTTCCAAACACACCTCAGATAAGGCAAGCAACGAGCCAGACGCATCCAAAGTAGTTTGCTCGTGACATTGAAAAATATATATTTTGAGGGTTTAAAATGAGCCTAATTCAGATTTTTGTGAAAGGGATAATATTTTAGTTCTAATTTCTTGAATATAAAACTGAACGAAGAAAACTCGCCTCAATTTATCAATCCCACCCCAAAAAATCATTAGCTCCAAACGTATACCAACAGAAGATACTCATAACGTCCCACATTCAGCACACAATTTTCAAAATTACACTTGTGCAATAACATGACGAAACAAGGGCAGTTAACACTTCTCCGGCAGATCAACTAGTTTACACGTCAGATCAAGCGCTTCTTCAACGACGGTTCATTCAACCACTGTGCTGTCCTTTGGGCGTCTTCTGTGCAGTCAGACGCCCCCATACACTCCTCCCAGGGCGCCTTTTGTGCTAACAGGCGCCGCGGATCAGTTCACGACGGCGATTGGCAGGGAAGCTCGCGATATGCACTATAGCTGTCACAGCCACCGGGCAGTCAGGACGCCCACAAGGCGCCCACACGGTCCACAGGGACGCCCACAAGACGCCCACACGGTCCAGAGGGACGCCCACACGGGCACACGGTCGGGAGTCGGGGCGAAGGAGGGCAGTCGGGACGCCCACAAGGCACCCAAACGGTCCAAAGGGACGCCCACACGGTCCACAGGGCAACCACAAGCGCCTGAGAGCGCCTACACGATCCAAAGAGCGCCCATACGGCCCAGACGGCGCTCATAAGGGCCATATGGCGCCCATAAGGTTCATACGGCGCCCATAAGGTCCATGCGGTGCTCATACGGTCCATATGACGCCCACACAAGCCAGAGGGCGTCCATAGGTCTAGAGGGCGCTCACACGGCCCATATGGCGCCCATACGGCTCATGGAACGCCCATACGGTATGCAGGGCGCCCATACGTGCCGCATGGCGCCCAGCCAGCCCAGAGAGCGCTCACTCTGTCTCGAGGGCGCCCACACGGTCCAGGACGCGCTCTTATTGTCCCCTTTGACGCACAAATGACCCAAAATGGCGCTCATACGTTACAGAGAACCCTCTAACGACGCAGTCAGCGTCAGCAGCCCTGACCGGTGGGTGAAGCGGGCATACACCGGTGTGTGGGGTCGGGTCACCTTACTGAGATTCCGTACTTGCTGCCCACTTCCGGACAGAGCACAGAGGCGGCAGAGAGCAGCAGGGGTACGTCGTTAGAGTCGACCGACATCAGCTGAAACGGACACGGGACAGCGGGTGAGACATGGGCGAGGTAATTCCGCATATCCGATTTATCACTATATTATGAAACATGAGGGCGTTATAAATATAAAACGGGGACATCGGTTCATCCCTTATCACAGGAACGTCCACATTTAGAGGCACGTCCTCACTCATAGCGTCCCTTTCCGCCTCTCCAACCCGTTGTGCGCCCTCGACCACTTAAACCACGCGAAATTCATCTCCTCGGTCCACACCCTTTCCCAGTGAGCTTCTCACCCTCGGAAAGCTCCTGTTCTCACTGCGCCCCTTCCTCACCCGTTATAAGCCCCCTTCTCACTTCACGTCCCTTCTTACCCTAATTGACTGCCCCCGGCCTGACTGCGCCATCCTCTCACCCTCGTCCGCTCCCCATTCTCACCTCGGTGAGCTCCTGCATGTTAGCCAGACTGCTATTGATGAGAAACTGCGCCATCTCCGCCGCCCTCGCCGTCAGTTGCACCAGCTGACTCTCCAGGTGTCTCAACACCAGTGGTGCCGGCGCACCAGTCTCGTGCACCCGACACACCGACTCGACTAGTGCCGACACCAGCGGAGCAAACACCACTGCCAGGCCGCTCAAACCTCCCCCGGCGTCACACACGGCGAACGCGTGTGACGAGAGCACTTGAACGGAGTATGAGTCTGTATCGGCCAGTACACAGGAAATCTCCCCACTACTAGCAGCGGCGGCTAGGTCAGGTCGCAGACGAGACTCCCAGGCGGCACGAGTGTCACAGCCCCAGAGGGCCAGGTCGGGGACGTAGGTAGAGCCGCCTCCGCCGAGAGCCGACCAGGGGGTGAGGGACTGCCGGCCCGGCCCGCCGCGGCCAGACTCCAGAAGAGCCGTCTGGGAGGGAGCAGAGAATGGGGGTTAGAGGGGGAGACATAGGGGTCAGACGTAGACATGTTACATACACGGAGAGACATAGGGGTCTCTAAACATAGTTATTAGACCAACGATTAAATAGTAATTCTCATTACACCCGAACAAAACACGCTGTAACAGATAATGCGACGATATTCTTCGCGTAAAACACACTTCAATAAAAAATGTTACAATGTCCTATCATTCAGTAAGGACATGCAACAACACCACGACTAACAGCTGTTATTGAAACATGTCGGACAAGACCGGGCTTTCCAGGGGTAGAAGCGGCTACATGTACTTCCTCTCTGTTGGAATTGTCTCAATCAGCTCCTTCTGGACTCTGGTAGTCTCACCTGCAGCTGTCCTATCTAGCTGAACCATCTTGTCACTCAAAGGTCCCCATCTCCACCCATCTCCATCCTGATGGATTGTAATCTTTATCATGGGATAACCCAGCTCGCACTTGGGGATTAGCAATTAATGTCCCTACCCTGAAAAGGTTCATCTTTTGCCTCCCTCCCCGGGAAAATATTTTCGTGTGACAGGCTTCTGTAACATATTTCCCAATTCCCACTATTTCCAGGTATATCTCACCTGTTGCTGAAGCCTGACGGGGCTCTCGGGTGTCCTCTCTAAACACCGACAAAGCCTCCCCACAGCCGGTGAAGGCACCTCTCGTGGTGGCGGTGACGGGGGAGGCGGCGGCGGCGGTTCAGGCGGTGGCGAGGGCGATCCTCCGTCCGACACATGTCGAGCCTTCCGCGCCGCCCAGCCCGCCGACTGCTGCGCGAACCGTAGCGAGCGATATCCACGTAGATACTGAGATGTATCGCGTATTGAATCACTATGGCGTCGACTGAGGGGAGAGTGATTCCCTCCCGCCGCCGGCAGAGGGGGAGGAATTTCAACAGCGGCACTTCGTCCTGAGCACCGCTCGCACCCAGCAAAACCAGAGTCATCATCCGAACTCTCCGACGTTACGACCGGTCGAGTCGGACGCTGCGTCACGACCGGGGGGACGTTCGCCGTCGCGTCTGTCACGTCCAACGTCGGTTCTGACGGTTCCTCATCGCCTCCGACGACAAATCGTACCGGCGCGCGGAGATCAGCCGACGACCGGGAGAGGCGACGCCCGGAGGGAGGCGGTAGGGGCGCAGAAGGTCGACATAGCGGCTCACAGGATCGGGATTGAGTCACGGTGGTTATAGGTGGGGCGAGGGTACCTCCGCCAGCCGGGCGGGAGGTGGATAAATCAGTCACCACGAGCGCCGGCACGGTGGGCGCTTCAGCGGTAGTGGGTGGATCTGCCGAGCCACAACCCGAGTCCGTATCCGCGCGTGTGACGTTTTCATCACTCGCCACTGACACCGGCAGGTAGAACCGACTCCTTCCCAGCGGCTGCTGAGGTTCCGGTGGGTCCTCCGCTCCATCCAAACGCACGTAAAACCTCGACCGTGTCTGTGCCTGACTGGAGACCGCTGACAGCGGCGGCGAGAGCGTCGCACCGCTCTCCTCTGCGCGCAGTGTCGCGCTGGAGCCGGATAGACGCCCGGCAGCCTGCAGTGAGCTCAGAGATCCGCCGCACGGGTCTTCAGACCCCCGTAACGAGCCGGTAGAGAGGTCTCCATTAGGTGCTTCAGAGACTCGAAGAGAGCCACTGGAAGTGTCTCGACCGGTGGTGGATAAGGTGGAAGTAGCAGCACGCAGAGGGGAGAAACTCCACGGCATGGTTTCAGACACCTGTCGGAAAAAAACGCGTGTCAGAAAGGCCGACAGTCGCTAGATTCTTTGTCACTAAGCATAACTTTTTTAACGTTTTAACTAGGTAGCTAGATATCATAACCACTTAACCAGGTACAGCTCGGTATAACTAGATCCTGAATGACGATAACGGTAACCTCGAACGGAGCATAACGACAGTCAAAACTGAGCGTGTGTCTGTACGTACGTACGTACGTACGTACGTACGTCTGTACGTAAGTACGAAGTGATCTGTGTTTTTGAAATGCTCGAACGATGTGCAACAATCATCTATTACGGGTAGTACACAAATACATATGAGAAGCTGACGACATAGCTCCATATCTGTGCTCATAACTTACCAGCTGATCGCGTATAAAATAGCTCAGTACGAGCAGTAGCCGGCTGACCAGCTCAGTTCTACGTCCCACCACCAGGGTGCGCGCGGGAGGCGGCGGCTGCAGCTTCCCGGCTCCGCCACCACGCGGCGCCACCGTCAACACCCAGTGAAGGTGGTGCGTTAGGACGGCCGTGAGGAGTGTCGACATGAAGCTAAACAAGGAATAGAGACACGTCAGTCAGAATGAAAGTGATACTTAACAAAAAAGACGTCAGTATGAGAGCCAGCGGAAGGGACTCAGTAGTCAGTACAGCTTGATAACTCGAGAGGGAGGCATGCGAGCTCAGCAGTGAGCTACTGAAACGGATAATGAAAGCATGACAAAGATGAGCGAGGCCATGTAAGGCAGACATGTTATTGCAGCACCGTTCCGTGCTTCTATCCTCAGGATACTGAAGTCCTTCTCCTCCACGCCGCAACCCCCTCCGGGCTGGACAGGCAATTTTACCTCATGCGGGCTGCTCCCTTGGAGCGGCACCGCTGCTCCCGAGGGAGCGCACCCCGTAGCCGGGTGCAGTGAGTACTTTGGGGCTGGGTGGCCTGTCCTCTGGACGGGCTCAGCCCCGGTGACTTACTAGGGTGCCTGCCCAGACCAATGTCTCCCCCTATATCCTATCATCCTCCCGGCTCTGAAATGGTCTCATTGGACCGAAAGGGCCTAACCCAACAAAAAACAAACATGTTATTGCATCGTGAACAAAATACAAAACAAGTTGACGAATTGACAGTATCATTTGTGAATGCCCCACATGACAAAACTCAGCAGTAACCAAGAAAAAAGCCCGCTATTTAAACTTGCGTATTTAATGTTTCCCGACTGCAATCGAGCTCTGGGAGTGATGGGGGACCTCAGTAGCCGGGAAGGGACCTCAGTAGTGTCGAACGGACCTCATTGGCGGGGAGGAGGTCCCAGTAGCCGGGAATTCGCCTCGTTTATAGCGGGAAAGGGGCCTAAGTAGCGGGTACGGGACCTCAATTACGAGTATAGCGTAGAAGGGCCCGCCACTGACCAGTTGTGTTCCTTGGTGTCCAGCTCCGCGATCAGTGACGTCAGCTCCGACACGAACAGCTCGGCCAATCGCTGACGCTGACGTGACGTCACCGAGTCTGACGTCAGACCCAGCCAGACGGGACGCGGTAGACGTCGGGCCGTCAGGAGGTTTAGCAAGTCCTGTGACGTCAGAAAAGGCCGGTCACGTGACAGTACAGTATGTTAGAACTTCGGTCACGTGACAGTGCAGCAATTTTAGAACGTCGGTCGCATGGTATAGCAGTGATGCTAAAAAAGGTACAGAACAGTGAACAGCAGAAAGGCGTCAAGTGACAAAACGGTGGTACACCAGAGCAGGGTACCGCGACAGTAGCGTAGCGGCATAAAGCGTAACGTGACAACGCAGCACGCCGAAAAAGGAGTCACGTTACACCAAATCTGACACGAGTTTAGTCTCCACAATGAGAATCACGAGCGTCTCGATCACATTAGTTCATACTACTCATCTATACTCCAGCGGCAGCTACCTTTGTCGATGTCAGTTGCCTATACTCGTAAATACAAATCAAAACTTTAGCATGCTAAGTTTCATTACAGACACGCACGCATGAATAATTCACAAGCTTTATGAAATTGAACACCTTCGAAAGCCCAATGGATTTGCTGAAAGTTGCGCAATGCACACATCATTATTTTCCATTACCTACCGATGACAATAACAAAGCATGCGAAACACACGCGTTTAGCGTGAAAACGCAGGCGTGTGTAATGTCTATCCACTACCCACCTGTCTGGTGACGGCTGTAGCCTGGTGGACGGTCCTCACAAAGTGTCTCCGGCCGTGGTAGGAGTGTCTATCCATTACCCACCTGTTTGGTGACGGCTGTGGCCTGGTGGACGGTCCTCACAAAGTGTCTCCGGCCGTGGTAGGCGTGTCTATCCATTACCCACCTGTTTGGTGACGGCTGTAGCCTGGTGGACGGTCCTCACAAAGTGTCTCCGGCCGTGGTAGGCGTGTCTATCCATTACCCACCTGTTTGGTGACGGCTGTAGCCTGGTGGACGGTCCTCACAAAGTGTCTCCGGCCGTGGTAGGCGTGTCTATCCATTACCCACCTGTTTGGTGACGGCTGTAGTCTGGTGGACGGTCCTCACAAAGTGTCTCCGGCCGTGGTAGGCGTGTCTATCCATTACCCACCTGTTTGGTGACGGCTGTAGCCTGGTGGACGGTCCTCACAAAGTGTCTCCGGCCGTGGTAGGCGTGTCTATCCATTACCCACCTGTTTGGTGACGGCTGTAGCCTGGTGGACGGTCCTCACAATGTGTCTCCGGCCGTGGTAGGCGTGTCTATCCATTACCCACCTGTTTGGTGACGGCTGTGGCCTGGTGGACGGTCCTCACAAAGTGTCTCCGGCCGTGGTAGACGTGTCTATCCATTACCCACCTGTTTGGTGACGGCTGTGGCCTGGTGGACGGACCTCACAAAGTGTCTCCGGCCGTGGTAGGCGTGTCTATCCATTACCCACCTGTTTGGTGACGGCTGTGGCCTGGTGGACGGTCCTCACAAAGTGTCTCCGGCCGTGGTAGGCGTGTCTATCCATTACCCACCTGTTTGGTGACGGCTGTAGCCTGGTGGACGGTCCTCACAAAGTGTCTCCGGCCGTGGTAGGCGTGTCTATCCATTACCCACCTGTTTGGTGACGGCTGTGGCCTGGTGGACGGTCCTCACAAAGTGTCTCCGGCCGTGGTAGGCGTGTCTATCCATTACCCACCTGTTTGGTGACGGCTGTAGCCTGGTGGACGGTCCTCACAAAGTGTCTCCGGCCGTGGTAGGCGTGTCTATCCATTACCCACCTGTTTGGTGACGGCTGTAGCCTGGTGGACGGTCCTCACAAAGTGTCTCCGGCCGTGGTAGGCGTGTCGATCCATTACCCACCTGTTTGGTGACGGCTGTAGCCTGGTGGACGGTCCTCACAAAGTGTCTCCGGCCGTGGTAGGCGTGTCTATCCATTACCCACCTGTTTGGTGACGGCTGTAGCCTGGTGGACGGTCCTCACAAAGTGTCTCCGGCCGTGGTAGGCGTGTCTATCCATTACCCACCTGTTTGGTGACGGCTGTAGCCTGGTGGACGGTCCTCACAAAGTGTCTCCGGCCGTGGTAGGCGTGTCTATCCATTACCCACCTGTTTGGTGACGGCTGTAGCCTGGTGGACGGTCCTCACAAAGTGTCTCCGGCCGTGGTAGGCGTGTCTATCCATTACCCACCTGTTTGGTGACGGCTGTGGCCTGGTGGACGGTCCTCACAAAGTGTCTCCGGCCGTGGTAGGCGTGTCTATCCATTACCCACCTGTTTGGTGACGGCTGTGGCCTGGTGGACGGTCCTCACAAAGTGTCTCCGGCCGTGGTAGGCGTGTCTATCCATTACCCACCTGTTTGGTGACGGCTGTGGCCTGGTGGACGGTCCTCACAAAGTGTCTCCGGCCGTGGTAGGCGTGTCTATCCATTACCCACCTGTTTGGTGACGGCTGTAGCCTGGTGGACGGTCCTCACAAAGTGTCTCCGGCCGTGGTAGGCGTGTCTATCCATTACCCACCTGTTTGGTGACGGCTGTAGCCTGGTGGACGGTCCTCACAAAGTGTCTCCGGCCGTGGTAGGCGCGCTCCACCGTGTGCTGGAGGCGCGCCAGGAGGTGCTCCAGCTGCAGCGAGTACTGGAGGAGCGTGTCCTCCAGGACACTGGAACGAGAGGGGAGGTTACAGTTACAGTACTGGAGTAGGGTATCCTCCTGAACACTGGATAAAGAGGAGGAGAGGAGGGTCCAGTTACAGTTACTGGAGAAGCGTGTCCTCCAGAACACTGGAGAGAGAGAGAGGGGAGGGGAAGGTCACTGTTGCAACATAGAGTAATGTGCCCTCCAGAACACTGGATAAAAAGGGGGAGGGGATGGTCACGGTTACACTGTACAATGGTAACCTCCAGAACTATGAGCTGCGAGGGTACAGGGGAGACAAGTAAGCAACGAGTTATTACAGACTCAATTGCTGAGAAAAAAACAAAGTAACAAAACACAAAGTAACAAAGCATTTCCCAGCACTTACACCCAAAGCCTCAGCCTAGTTAAAATGCAACAGAAATACTTTATTTGCTGTACTTCCATAATTAGCTAAACAGAATTAAAAAAGCCAAAACTTTCAACATTATACTGTTTAAACGTCACAACAAAGCACCCACCATCTTTTCTCACAACCTCCTCAAACTTGCAACTCCTGCCACGCCCTCATCCCACACATTGACAATCCAGTTTGGCTGCATTCCCACTCCCCCCGCCCCCGGGTCACTGACCTTCGCGCCGGCCCAGCCAGTGTCACCAGGACGACCACTGCCAGGCGGGCGGCGCGTGACGTCATACGCAGACACGGTGCGTCATCGCGTGACGTCAACATTAGGTCCGAGGAGCCAATGGGACGCAGACGGGCTGAGCGGTGCAGAGAGCCGTGCGAACCGAGCGAGGCCCCGGAGCCTGGGGTAAAGGCGGGGGGGGGGGGGTTAGAGGGGCATGGTAACAAAGTGAGGCACCGTCATGGGTATCATAGCACCGTTATTATTAGCACATCATCCTTAGCAAAACATTGCACTGAGCACTAGCCCCGTGAGTCACTTGCACTTGAATCCGTAGGCTGTGAGTCACTTGTACTAGCCCTATGATCCACATTGACCCTTTAGGGTCATGCACCGACCCTGTGGGCAGGGTTGTGCTCGACTCAAAAAAATTTGCCGACTCGACTCGTCATTCAACTTCAGAAAGCCCTGACTCAAACTCTGACTCAAACAAGGAGCAGATTTTTTTCTTGACTCGACTCATGACTGAAGCGGCTCAATGAAAATATGAGTTGACTCAAACTTGACTCAAATTTTTTGTTGAGTCAAGTGTGTTGACTCAAAATTGGCTCAGATGAAAAGTTGTTGAGCGGGGGGGGGGGTGAAAAAAAAATTCGGCAGCAGGGCCAGGCCTAAGTTGTTAAGCGGGGGAGAATGATAGGCTTGTATATATTGTTTCTAGAAAGATAAGTCAGCTGACTCATGTTCCTAAATGTTTTTGACTCAACTCAATGTCAAAAGTTATTTTACTGACTCAACTCTGCCTCAACTCAACACCTCAATATTTTTGTCTGACTCAACTCTGACTCAACTCAACAGCTCAACATTTTATCCGACTCGACTCAAACCTGACTCATTTGAGTCAGAGTTGAGTCAAATCTCTGACTCGACTCATGAGTCAAGCACAACCCTGCCTGTGGGAACATAACCTGAGCGACCGACTCTAAGGGGTGATCATGGGTAGCATGCTAGCCTGAGTGTGAGGTCAAACACTACCCCTGTGTGGGCTGTGTGGTCACACACTCACCCTGGGCCGACAGCGGCGTTCCGTACGGCGTCGGCATGTAGGACGGCGGTCCCATGAAGCTGTCGACACTGCTCAGGCCAGAGTCCTCGCTGAGGCGGCCCGCCGGCGGCGGACAGTCCATGCTGGACGACCTGGCGGCAGGTCAGGGAGGTCACAGGTCACAGGTCAGGGAGGTCAGAGGTCACAGGTCGGATGTCATATGGGACAGTTCATACTGGACGACCTGTCGACAGGTCAAGGTCAGGGAGGTCGCAGGTCAGAAGGGACAGTCCATGCTGGACGACCTGGCGGTAGGTCAGCGAGGTCAGAGGTCAGAGAGGACAGTCCATGCTGGACGACCTGTAGGCAGGTCAAGGTCAACAAGGTCAGCGAGGTCAGAGAGGTCACAGGTCAGAGGGGACATGCTGGAATCTGGACGACCTGGCGGCAGGTCAGGGAGGTCAGAGGTCACAGGTCAGATGTCATATGGGACAGTTCATGCTGGACGACCTGTCGGCAGGTCAAGGTCAACAAGGCCAGCGAGGTCAGGGAGGTCAGAAAGGTCAGGGAGGTCACAAGTCAGATGTCAGAGGGGGACAGTCCATGCTGGAAAACCTGTCGGCAGGTCAGGGAGGTCAGGGAGGTCGCAGGTCAGAGGGGGACAGTCCATGCTGGAAAACCTGTCGGCAGGCCAGGGAGGTCAGGGAGGTCACAGGTCAGATGTCAGAGGGGACAATCCATGCTAAATGACCTGTGGGCAGGTCAGGGAGGTCAGGGAGGTAGCAGGTCAGAGGGGACAGTCCATGCTGGAAAACCTGTCGGCAGGTCAGGGAGGTCACAGGTCAGATGTCAGAGGGGACAATCCATGCTAAATGACCTGTGGGCAGTTCACCAAGATAATGGTCACCGAGGGTAGAAGTAAGATGTGTTGAAGGGACTGTGGAGGTTTGGAGTTTGCAGTCAGAGGTCCGAGGCAAGGCTGCGGAGTCGGAGTCGATAGTTCTGACTGGAGTCAAAGTCGGAGTCACCGAAAATCCATCGACTCCGCAGACCTGCCAAGTCTGCATAGTCGGAGTCAGAGTCGGTCGGAGTCGACGAGTTTTCCCTGAGTCGGAGTCACCGAAAATCCAGACTCCGCAGTCCTGGTTAGAGGTCAGCGAGGTTGGAAGGGTCTGAGGGGTTCGGCATCAGAGAGGTCTGTTAGAGGCCAGGGGTCTGTGGGAATTATGGACATGGGGAAAGGCTAGATGAAAAGCTATGGGACCTTGCTCTCTTAGGCGTAAGCCATAGGGAGAATCAAAAGCCATGAGAATGGAGCCAAAGCCATCAAAGGTAGCATTCAAACGCAAGATGAGTATTATATATACAGATATAACGAGAGCAACACAGAAAGATATGTCATGCATTCATGTCACTGATAACAAATAATATGACAGTGACTTAGGGCATTGTGGAAAGTGGGCGCTTGCGGTGTGGCGTTTGTGAACACATCGACGCTTTTTTTCTAACTCCACATCCGTTCTCTCGTGAATTTCTAAGAAGCAAGAAAGATCCCTGTTAAAAAGTGTTGTTCAATCATCCGATCCTGAACAAATATGTGTGTTCGTTAGCTCTTTCTGGCATTGCTTGATCTGCTAAGACAGGCAAACTTGAGACAAATCGAGTGACTGGACTTGTTTTGAAAGTTTCTATGAAACTTGTTGGTAATTCATGGGAGAACAGAATATGTGGGGTTTGAAAAAAGCACGTCGATAACTATGGGGAGGGGGAGAACAGGTGTGATAACACTTACCTGGGGTCAGTTGTATTGGGTGATGGGTTGGAAGTGTAATGTGTATGTGTAGGGGAAGGTGGGGTAAGACGGACCAGCTAGGGTTTGAGGCCGCATATCTTGCTACACTGCTCTTGTAATTCATATTATTTATAATCTTCGGAATGCTCAATCCTTCCTCTGTTGATATGTGTAAAGACTAAATTTCAAATTAAAGACATCTAGGTGGTGGATGCTCTTAAAGAGGGACATGTCAAAAACTCAGACAAGAAAAAACGTGGGGTAAGACGGACCACCCAGCAGTGCCTGCTATCCGTTCATGTGTGTTACTGCACTTCTGCTCAGTACTCTTGTAAGAAAAAGTAACCAGAATGGTAAAATAACAAAATAAGCCTTTATTCTGTACTCATGTGTGATGGAAGTGCAGCTAAAAGCTGGGAATATGTGTGTTGATTGTCGTTTGGCATGAATGTATGCTAACTGAGCACTTGCATGCATGGCTCACATGCAACAAAGACTCCTTCCTGAAAAATTAGCTTACTTAAACTTGTGTCAATGTTTTGGAAAAGAACTTTCCATATGCAGGGTACAATGGACCACCACAGGGTAAGATGGACCGCAGTGGTCCGTCTTGCCCCAAATCTAAATTCTGTCATTATCATGACGCATATGTCAAATAGCCCAACATTGCAAAACCTTGCCTTTCCTGAAGTGTGACTATAACTAAGTTTATAACTTTGTTCTTCACAGTTAAGTGCAAAATAGAAACTAATCATGCAAGAAAGGCGCCGTAATTGAATCACCCGTAGACCTCTAATATTAGATCGGTTTGACGAAAAACAACATTTTTCTCGATAACTCAAAAGCTATGCATCCTAGCAGCATGAGCTCAAGGTGGCCATTGTTACGAAGGAAAACAAACATAGTGAGTGCATAAAGCAGTAGATACCAGCAGCGGTTCAGCCGGGAGGGCTGATGGTCCGTCTTTCCCCGCTGGGCCGTCTTACCCCACCTTCCCCTATGGGGTAACACTGACCTGGGGTGGTGCGGTGACGGCAGACCGGCCACGTCCAGCCGCTGGGAGCTACACTGGGGTGGTGGGGTGTGTGTATGTATATGTATGGGGGTATATCTGACCTGGGGTGGTGGGGTGTGTGTATGTATATGTATGGGGGTATATCTGACCTGGGGTGGTGCGGTGTGTGTATGTATATGTATGGGGGTACAACTGACCTGGGGTGGTGGGGTGTGTATATGTATGGGGGTACAACTGACCTGGGGTGATGGGGGTACAACTGACCTGGGGTGGTGGGGTGTGTATATGTTTGGGGGTATAACTGACCTGGGGTGGTGCGGTGACGGCAGCCCGGCCACGTCCAGTCGCTGGGAGCTACACTGGGGTGGTGAGTGGTATAACTGACCTGGGGTGGTGCGGTGACGGCAGACCGGCCACGTCCAGTCGCAGCAGGGACAGCTCGCTGCCGGTCGAGCTACACGAGTCGTCCAGACTCGTACCGCTGAGGGGAGCCGGCACGGCATCAGATAATACAGAGTAAGACAGATAATGCAGACACAATGACAGGCGATACAAATAGAGTATGATAGACAGGCAGGCAGGGTATGACAGACAATACAGAGTATCGCAGACGATGCAATAGCAGTTTGCCTTAGTACCGACAGGACAGAGTGAAGTTGCATTTAGAGACAGTGCGACACAGCGTGAGAAAAAACGCAAAGAAGCAGACAATAAAGGCACATATGCCACATCCTGGATGCACTGGTTTGAGACTGTGACACGACCAAGTTTCAACTCCAACTGTGCCTTAGAGAGAAAGTTATGTCATATTTCCTTTGGTTTGAGTCTACGACATGTACGGCCCTCCAGCAAAAGAGTGGTTGGTTAACCTATGTGCTTTTGGTGTAATAACTTTGAATGACAGAGACACTCCTGTAAAATGACTCAATAGAAATGAGAAGAGGGTTCGTGCACACGCTTCAGCAATGGTTTTCAACAGCCATTAGACGTATTCATCCATGCAGATCGCTTATTGTGATGTTGGCAACCAACCACTAAATACCTGGAGGGCCGTACCAATGACAGTACGCCATGTCTTATTTCCACTGGCTCGTACCCAAGCCGTGGAACCCCCCCCCCCCCCCCCACTCACCTGCTGCCGTGAGTTCTGGCGCGGCGGACCGGCTGGCGCAGTGGGAACACCCGGCTCATCATCATCGTATCCGGGGAACAGCTCGGATCGGCACCCTCCGCGCCTGAGGGACGGGGGGCGGGTCAGAGGTCAACGACCGACGGACGGGTGGCGGGTCAGAGGTCAACGACTGGGGGACGGGGGGCGGGTCAGAGGTCAACGACTGGGGGACGGGGGGCGGGTTAGGTTAACGACGGCGCAGAATGTCAACAGGTCACAGGTTCACATACTGAGCTAAGCCACATCAGCAAACACATACACCAGAGTAATGCTGCAGCAACTAATAAACGTGGCCATGAAAAGTTGGTTAAAAATAAGCCTCTTATGTTTATGAAACGAAGGTTTATGAAACGAAGCGTGTAACATTAAAAGTAGAAAAAGTAACATAATTGGTAACGAATTATATCTAACATTGGGAGAGTGGCAGCAACTGATTACTATGACCAGCTTATGCATACAGAATTTCCATCCAGCGAAGCAATGCTCTGCAGTTCATTCTCGGACCTTTCAAATAACGAACAATAAGACACGAGTCTCAAGAGTACTCATGCAGCTACTGACGGCTTACCTCTGACAATGTGCACCTTGCATGTGGGTCCTCCATAGGCCATTGCCACTGTACCAAACACCATCTCTCCCAGCTGTTTGGCGTCCGGACGTTGGCGAGTGTACTGCAACACAGTCAAAGTATCAGCACATAAAATATACAGAGTGCTGCAGTTTAGCAGCCAGCTATTTTGTGAGGAGGGTATGACGCATTCCATGACCTGACGTCACAGGCGATGACGTCGGCTCGCGCGCGAGCCAACACTAACGGGAACCCTCTGAGCAGTGAACATAGATGGTGGGGCAGCATAGGTATAGAGCGAGCTGTATAAGAATATTGATAGATTTGCATCATGCATGCCTCAAATGATTGTTGGGGCGTCTCTGTTTGCTTTTTTATTTTTATATCTGTTTATTTAGGCTTACTCAACGCCTTAATTGCTAAATGCCTGCCATTTATTCATATGACAAAATCCTCAGTAAACAATGCAAATGCAATGGACCAAAGATTTGTGAGAAATTTGGGAAGATTTGTGAGCGCTTGCTGTCAACCAATTAGAGTTCAGGCTTCAGCTTATGTAATCTAAGTGTGAACAAGACAAATGAGTGAAATATGTGATGCCCAACAATTTTATGTACATGATCCAAAATTAATAAAAAGACTCTAGAGATGACTGCAAGCTGACAAGTGAAGTCTACAAATGAAGTTACAGGTTCATCCATGTTGATCTTGTAGAGAAAGCAGGTATGACATCAAATTTGATCACTTCACTTTTGATTCATGCTCTGCTGATATGCACTGCAGCATCATCATATAATTGAATAGATGCATGCCTTTTGTTAGATTTTCTAGTCAATAAATCAGATTGGTTAGGAAGTTCAGACAAAAATTAAATGTGCACAGAACACCTAAAAGTGTATGTAAAAACATGACACCATACAGGACCTGCCTACTATCTGGAGAGCAGGAATCAGATAGGCTGCTCGGTGCTCATTGCACAACCATTACTTGAATAATGATATTGCTTTGCAATAATTCTTGTTTAGAAATATATCACACATAATTTTCATTGCAGTTGCTTACAGGACTAAATGACATTATGCTTAGTGAGTAAATAAAAAATGAGCATTGAGGAAAGAACAACAAAGTATACAAATAATATGCCAGCACATTTAAATTAATATTGCTTTTTGATAGTAATTAACCCAACATAAGGCCAACCCTATTCCTTACTTTGAAGCCTGTGTCATTTTCCACCTCAATGAGGCCAGCGTGTTCTGTCGTGCCACTTCCGCAGGGCACCAGCAGGACGGTGGATGAGTCAAAGAGCAGCCTCCTGCCTCGTACCTCACATTCCCGATAGACCAGGACAGTGACCTGGTCTGGCTCCAAGGCCACCGGCTGCCAGGGACTGCGGAAAAAATGAAATGAGGGTGAGGGTAGGAATATGAAAGCTTCTGTCTCTGTGCACAAACATCATAACTTGAGCCTTCCTGCAACTACAAAACTGCCTTAATAGGTACCTCAAGTTCGAAATTCAAAAGTGGTAAATCAATCACCCCAATCCAATGACTAAAATAAACATCGAAAACAGCTGTTAGCCCACACAAAATATGTATAAGCTGCAAACTGTATAAGACCATGCAGGTCATTTAGGATCTACATGACAAAATGGTGATACAAATTACTGAAAAGATGCAACAATAAATAAATAACTAATAAAAATGCATATAAATGCACTGAACAAATTGTAACGGCTGCGCCATGAATGTCGATAAATAATAAAAGCACATAATTAGAAGCATCAACAAACTGATAATTACTGCAGAAAACATCAATAATACTTACTTAAACTCTGGTACATTATCATATCCTTTCAGAGGCTTTAATGCACTTTTCTTTCTACCACCAAACAGTCTAGACAACAACGCCATGTCTCGTGATAGCACACTGGAGCTCCATGTAAACAAACACTCGCATCTGACCTCATTCAGCTGAGCCCAGTCACAGTAAACGTGCAAACTGGCAACGTGTTCTAGCGAGTGGATCACGCCCAAGGTCGGATGAATCGGTCCGTCATATGACTGCGCCGCGTATTTTGGGTACGGGAGCTCACGAGGAGGAGTTTCCGGATGGATGGCGCCAACAGCGGATGTAGGAGTCATTGCATTGCATAAGCGTCGCCAGGGTTTTGAGGATGGAGGCAATGAGTGCTCAGGCAATAGTTATCATCGGCGCCTATTATGCGGCTGTTGGTGATTATAAATGTATATTTCTCGAGGTGGGGGCCGGGGGGGGGGGGGGGGGGGCTCGGGCACTCGGTGTTCTTTCAAGCTCATTTAGGTACAATTAACCCGCGCCCCAATGGCGGTCTCAGCCAACTTCGCCCTAGTGGGGGGGGGGGGGGCATATGTTACCACCCACCTCTAACTAAAAAACTAAGAGGGCTATGTGTGGAGTTATTTCTATTATCAAACTATGTTAGTAATTAGAAGTGCCTACATGATTTAGGTCATTCACTAATTATGAGGTGCCGGAGTGAATATGCACATGTCATATGCCGCGTGATTCAAAAATGCAAGAACGGCAATTTGGAGCAGCAGCGCGGCGGCGAGGGGGGAGCCGTAGAGGAACGAAGGAAAGTGGATTTATTGATATGGAGTGGAGTGAAGCAATTGTAGAAGCGTAATTGTTGAGTTCATGCAGGGGGGTGTCACTACTTTGCTTCGCCATAGGTCCAGTACTGATGTCATTGGTTTCGGACCCGGTGACGTCAGTGCTGGCTACATCCGGGAACTTCTTGCACTTGGTTCTCATTAGAGGTGGCCATATTGTTTTGTCCCGTGACGACACATTTGCGTCACTGAGTCCGAAACTGGCTGTAAACAAATCGCTCAGTGTCGCTACCTCCTATATATGGCCCAAGGCTATATAAACCAGGTAGAACGTTCCCGACGAAAAAGTGGTGACAAGCGATAATTAGTAGCCGCGACCCTCACTTGTTCAAAACTATATCCGCAAGCAGCATTTACAGGCTAGCGGAAATCGACCAATCGGCGTTCGGCAATACTCGACGCTGATTGGCCCGATGCTCGTGACGAAATTGCGGGGGACTGTAGCTACTCCCCTATGGCGTTTAATAGACTTACGGCTTTTGAAGGCGTTTTATACCAGTTTTTGTTGGGTTTGAGGCCATTTTTGTGCTTGGATATTCTTTCTGTGACTTTTGACTGTGTAATAACGACATTTAATCATAACATTTCTATATACTACCGGTGTCACATCGGCCAAAAAGACCGTAAGTACATGGGATAGACGGACCACTGCTGATGGGGCCACAATGTCGGCGTGTGGTCATCGGAGGTCCATGAGGGCTCGACATAGGCCCTTCATGAGTCGGTATAGGCCCGGTGGGTCCAGTGCAAGCCTATCAGGGGCTGGTGCTGACCCAACAGGGCCCAGTGGCATATAATGTAAGGCTGTCTAGGGACGTTGAGGGCTCGTGGGGGCCATATAGGACAATTAGGGACCACATAAGTCAATCAGGGGCCATTTAGGCCAATAAAGGCACTTCAGGGGACTTGAAAAGGTCATTCAAGAGCTGTGGTGGGCCATGAGGGGACGGCACTGGTCCAGCAGGTGCAGTCAGGGGATGTTGTACGGGTTTCTCAGTGGCCCATTTGGGCATATCAGTGACCAATTTGGACCCAGCAGGGGGCTTTGTAGACCTATCAGGGGCGGGTGATGGTTCATCAGGGGCCAGCGTTAGTCCATCGGGGCACGCCATTATGCCCGTCAGAGGTAATTGCGAGCCCACGCTGAACAATGATGGCCCTTCAACGGCCCCTAATGGATCTACATTGACCCATGGGCCATGATGTGTCATGTATGCCCCTATGATCGACAGGCCTACTCAGACCCCTGATGGACATTCCCGGCCTCTGATGACCCTATACTGAATGCTGATGGGGCTATAAGTTTCTCCAATAACCCTTCGTCAACCCATTATTACCATACGCTGGCACTAGGGGCCCCACGTCAGCCGCAGGGCAGTCCGTGCCATGACAGCATGTCTTTTCGGCCGATATTACATCGGTAATATTTATTAAAATCATGATTTTATGGTGTCATTATATAGCTAACAGTCATAAGAAATATATTTCAACTCGAAAACAGCTCCAAACAGCATATAATTTTAAAGAAACCCCTCCGAAATCCAAAAGCCTATTCGGGTCCATAGAGAATAACTGCGGTCCCCCGCAATTTCGTCACGAGCGTCGGACCAATCAGCGTCGAGTACTGCCGAGCGCTGATTGGTGAATTTTCCGCTAGCGTGCAAGTACTGCTCGCGGAACAAGAGTTCGTCGACAATCCTCCACAAACGTCTGTCACCATTTTTCGTAATGCTAAACAGCCGGAGCGTACCCCCCTGATATGGCCTTGAGTTCATGGCGGATTTCGTATTGAGTTGAAATCGATAAACGCTTGACTTTTATTCGATCTCTTTCTAGTACAATACAAGCTATTTCGGCTCGCTTCAAAATGGACACAAATACTTTCGATTTGAGGATCATCCCAGAATTCGATGGAAGACAACCAGTGCTCGAGTGGCTGGAAAAAGTGGAACTCACCTGCAGACTGAGGTCAGTGACAGAGTTGGAAAACGTTATTCCGCTTCGTCTAACTGGTGGCGCATTTAACGTTTACCAGCAGCTCAGTGAAGAGGACAAGGCCGATGCGAGTCGGATAAAAGAGGCGCTGCGAACGGCATTCGCAGCTGACAAGTTCACGGCTTATGACCAGTTCATCTCCAGGAGACTCCGTGCTGGTGAGTCCGTCGATGTCTATCTTTCTGAGCTTAAACGGCTAGCTCTGTTGTTCGGAGGAATCCCTGATACTGGTCTGATATGTGCCTTTGTGGCCGGTCTGCCGGACTCTGTGCGTCAGACTATGAGAGCTGGGACCCGTATCGAGTCGCTAACCCTGAGTGAAGTGCTCGGCCGTGCGCGGGCGCTGCTGGCGGACGACTGCGACACCGCCGCGGCGGTTCAGACTCGTCAGACTTGGCGTGGTGCTACTAGCGACAAGCGCCAGCGTGGTGAGACTCGTGGGCCAGTGAAGTGCTACCGATGTGGAGAAGAGGGGCATATCGCACGCCTCTGCCGACAGGTAGTCTGCTTCCGGTGTCAGAAGTCGGGTCACACGATGGCTCACTGTCCGGAAAACAGGCAGGGAGGGGAGACGTCAGCGCCAGCCTCCTCTCCGCGCTAAGCGGCGCCCTCCCTACAAGACAATTAGAGGTCAATGGCACCAGCGGCTTGGCGCTGGTCGACTCTGGATGTTCCCGCAGTATTGTTGATCAGTCCTTCTGTCCCGGCTGGACCAAGAGAAGAATCAATGTGAGAACTGTAAGCGGCGAACGGTACCAATGTGACGGCAGTGGACCTATTCGAGTGTGTCTTCCGAACGGTGCTGCTGCTGATCTTGATGTCCTAGTGGTGATGGAGAAGCCATTGGGTTTTGATCTTGTGCTTGGCATGGACGGCATTGAGGCATTGGGAGGAGTTACGCTGGTAAACTCCAGTCAAGTGCAGTTCGGAGGTGAGCTCAACTGTGCTGCCGTTCAACTGACAAAACCAGAACCGACAGAACCAGAGCTGACAGAATCGGAACCGTTGAAACAAGGAGTGATGAACCCGGAACAGACAAACATGGAAACTGGTCTGAGTGGGAATGAGAGCCGTGTGAAAGTGCATGTTGATGAGGCAGATTTTCAAGCAAGTTACGATGAAAAGGATAAGAAGTGGACTATGAGCTGGAAGTGGGCGGATGGCTCGGCACCTGAGGCGCTGAGGGACACCGTGTCGGAGTATAAAATACCGCCAGAGAGCCGTGAGGAATATGAAGAGGAGCTGAAACAGTGGGTGGAAAACGGTTGGCTCGAGCCGTACGATGAAGAGAAACAGGGGCCGCCGAAGGGAACAATTCCTCTCATGGCGGTGCTGAATCGGAACAAGGAGAAGGTGAGACCAGTTCTAGACTTCAGACAGCTGAATTCGTTCGTTGATGCGCATACCGCAGACGCAGACGTGTGCGCCGAGAAACTGCGCGAGTGGAGGAAAAGGGGCACTGATGGAGCCATGATCGACCTCCGAAAAGCATACTTGCAAGTGCACGTAGACGAGTCACTTTGGCCCTATCAAACAGTTGTCTTCCATGGCAGACGGTATAGTCTTACGCGTCTTGGCTTTGGTTTGAGCGTCGGGCCTCTGGTGCTGAAGAAGGTGTTGGCCACTATCCTGAGCTGGGACGCAGACATCAGACGCGCTACTTCAGCATACATCGACGACATCTTTGTCGATGAGAGTGCTGTTCCGGCGGAGCGTGTTGTGGCGCACCTCAAGAAGCATGGCTTGGACTGCAAGCCCCCGGAGCGCCTCTCTGGCGGTACCCGTGTCCTTGGACTTCGGGTACAGGAGGGGGACGGTCATCTGGTCTGGAGACGAGACAACACTGTCGGAGACGTCCCAGAGCCACTGACAAAGCGGGCTCTGTTCTCGCTATGTGGTCGGCTCGTCAGTCACCTTCCGGTCTGCGGCTGGCTGAGGCCGGCTGCCTCCTTCATGAAGAGAGTGGCGAATGCGACTACAACGTCGTGGGATGAACCGGTGACGGACCCGAAGATACTGAAGATGTTGGAAGAAGTCATGCAGCGAGTGGATGCAGCAGACCCAGCACGCGGCAGATGGGACGTGGATGGAGAAGACGCAACAGTATGGGTAGATGCGAGCTCCCTGGCCCTAGGTGCTGTGGTACAGATCGGGGGAGAAGTGGTTGAAGACGCATGTTGGCTAAGACGTGACGAGTGCGCCCATATAAATATGGCTGAGCTAGATGCAGCACTAAAAGGCATCAATCTCGTGATTCCATGGGGAGTCAAAACAGTGAAACTGATGACAGACTCGCGGACAGTCTA